GGTTTAGTATTGACGTCAGATAGTAAGACGTGTATGTTAACTAAACAGGGGAAACCCGTATGCTCAGGTAAGAGATGCGGAAGGTTGTTTGAGTTAAACATCAAGGTCGAAGTACCGACAAACGGGTACGCGACTGTAGCTGTCGAAAACAGGTTGTCTGTTTGGCACGAGCGCATGGCACATCAGAATTTACAGTACGTAAAAAGTTGTTTGGCGAAACACGAGATAGTATGTTCGGCCAAGGACGACGAATTCATGTGCAGCAGTTGTATAATAGGTAAACAAAGTCGTAAATCATTTAGTAAAAGTAATACGGAGTATCACAATGTCGGTGATTTAATCCATGCAGACCTATGTGGACCAATGTAGGTAAGCTCTATAGGCGGTTCAAAATACTTTTTGTTATTCAAAGACGACTACTCGCATTATAGAACAGTATATTTTATTAAAAATAAATATGATGTTAAAAATATTTTTGAGACGTTCATAAAAAGTGTTGAAACAGAAACAGGTTCTAAGGTCAAAATATTACGAACGGATAATGGATTAGAATTCGTAAATAAAGAAATTACGGATATTTTACAAAAACACGGGATTCGACATCAGTTAACAGTTCCCTACACACCACAGCAAAATGGAAAAGTGGAACGTGAAAATCGTACAATAGTAGAGTCAGCGAGGACAATGATTTGTGCGAAAAATTTGGATGTATCACTTTGGGCGGAGGTGGTAAACACGGCAGTTTACACGCTTAATCGAACAGGAACCAGTTCAGTTAAAAATAACTCACCATACGAGTTATATTACAAGGTAATGCCAGACATTAAACACTTACGAGTTTTTGGTACTGTCGTATATACACACATACCAAAGCAAAAACGTAAAAAGTGGGACCCTAAAAGTGAAAAAGGAATATTTGTTGGCTATTCGGATAACACGAAAGGTTATCGTGTGTATTATTCGAAAACAAATAGAATTTCAATGTCTAGAGATATTATATTCGAAAACGAAGGTAATAAATTGGAAAATATAATTGCAAACAAATTAGAATTCACAGATACTCAGACTCAAGTCGAGGGCGATCCGGTCAAGGTCGAATTGACGACGGTCGACAACAGGAGTGGTATGGTGCTACGTGATCGGAATACATTAAAAGCGCCGATCAGGTATAATGTATCGTCGTTCGTCGCCAATCTCGTTGAACCACTAAATCGTGATGAAGCGATAGCTGGCCCACAGAAAAACGAGTGGGAGCACGCTATGAGTGATGAAATTAAATCACTACACAAAAACAACACTTGGTCACTAGTTAATTTGCCTCAGGGCAAGGTTGCATTACGTAATGCATGGGTGTTCAAAACCAAATATAAAAGTGACGGTAATATCGATAAGTTTAAGGCCAGATTGGTCATTAAAGGTTGTTCACAGAAATACGGTATAGATTACCATGAAACATTTTCGCCAGTGGTCAGATACGAATCAATTAGGGCGATATTCGCAGTAGCAGCTGTGGAAAAATTAATACTACGACAATTCGACATCAAGACAGCATTTCTGTACGGAGAACTACAGGAAGAAATTTACATGGTACAACCACCAGGATACGAAGATGGATCGAATAAAGCCAAGGAACTTTCAATACCAATAGACAAATCACATACACTTGAACAAAAAGAAGATACGGAAATATTGAATGAAGATATTCCTTATAGGCAGGCAGTAGGTAGCTTACTGTTCTTATCACAGGTAACAAGACCAGATATAGCATATGCAGTAAACTTTGCTAGTCGTTACTTAGCAAAACCAACTAAAGCTCATTGGAACTTGGTAAAACGGATTATACGATATATCAAGCGAACATTTAATTATGGCTTGTACTTTAATAACAAAACAAAATTGTCATTAGAAATATTTAGCGATGCAGATTACGCAGGCGACATTCAGACACGACGTTCGACGTCAGGATTTCTATTCAGGTACGGGTCAAGCATAATTTCATGGACATCGCAGAGACAACATTGTGTGTCATTGTCATCGACAGAGGCTGAATATATTTCGGCCAGTGAAGCTGTCAAAGGGATCTTGTGGATTACACGGTTGATAACAAGCTTATCAACAACAGGTGACAAACAACCAGTTTTATTTATAGATAATCAAAGTGCTATACGTTTAGTTAAGAATCCGGAGTTTCATAAGAGGACAAAACATATAGACGTACGGTACCACTTCATACGGGAGAAATACGAAGAGGGACAATTCCAACTACAGTACATTGGAACAGAGGACCAGATTGCGGACATTCTAACCAAGCCTTTGGTTAAGGAACGATTCGAGAAGTTGCGGTCAGCCATAGGAGTGACTACAATTAAAGAGATTATTAATTGAGGGAGGGTGTTGAAATATACAATTAATATGTAGTACATGTAGTCAGCCTTGACACGTGTGTACAATATAGTAACTAGTTATGTACGAGCATAAGACTCACTCTCTCACGGATGTAACATGACCTCGGTCGTGCATTTATATAGGGCCTTTGATGTATGTAATATTCACTTGCACAGACGCTGTCATACCGAGTGTACGCGGTGTGTGTGTATAGTCACAGTTTAATTGTCCAGTTGTACGTTATTATATATTATACTTATACATAATCATATTGTCGTGTTATTACTTATTATATTAATGCTAACATCATTAGTCCGTCAAGCTTCACTTTCAACAAATATGAACATATTTATGTATCAAAAATGTATTGTATGCGAATATTTTCATGCATAAAAATACTTTGAAAATTGTATAAAGTATTTATTATGTACAAATGGAAATGTCATTAATGTAGAGAATTATAAATTTATGATTGTGTTAATTGTACTGATCAAAATTTAAATTATTTTATTTGATGTTTATAAAATATGCTACTTGTAAATTGTAATCAATATTGTAACTAACTGCAAAATGTGGAACTTAAATTGAATTTTACTCAAATATGCAAAAAAAAAAATATATATTAGCTACAGAAATAGATTTATGCATTAAGAAACATTGATTTTAACCAGAATTATTTTAAGTGTAGAAAATTATACATGTATCAATTATGTAAAAACTGGTCCACTATGACAGTAAATTGTTTGAAATAAATTATGTTTAACAATTATTGATTATACATAATATACTTAACCCACCATGACGTGTCCAAAAGATATTATATAATATATTATTATATTATTCAATGAAAAAAAATAGGATATTTACAAAGAACTTCGTATTTATATTTAAAGAAAAACTAATATATTTTATTAATTAGGTACTTATACACATTAATATAGAGGTAACATTAGTCGCCCGTATGAAGACATCAATAGTTTACGATGCCACGGATTATTTCCATAAATAATAATACCTACTCATTAGTTATTACTTGTTAGTACTTATTCCTTATTTTCCATTAGTACAATAATGATTGGAATAGTAATAATATGCCTATGACTATTAATTACAATTTTATTCAAGTGACTAACACTTATCACTATTAACTCAATTTTTAATTTAATTGAAAAAAAATAATTAAGTAACTTAGTTAACTTCAGTTAATAACTGAATAACCATTGAGGCATTGACAATGACAATTATAGTCAATAACCAATATCATACCTACCACGATGACCAGAGACGTATTTAGGGGTGGGCGAGGGGGTATCATCGCCCCGGGCGGCAAATTTTTTTGGAATTAAGGGGTGGCAGCATTTTTTCGTAACCAATAACCATAACCCATCATCCATTTTTTTTTCATTCGTCAATTAATAAAAAAAAAAATAATAATTTAAGATTTTGGATAGCGGCTACACTGCGATTTTATTTTTCATGATAATATTATCATAAGTTGACCGCGTAAAATCCATAGATAATGATTATTAATTATTATCTTCATCAATCTGTAAATCGCATGTTCATATGTTTCATACTTTCGTGTAAATATGTAATTATGTGAATAATGAATATTGTGAATGAAAAATGATTTATATTTTCATAAACATTACCAACTACCAAGTAAGTTAATTTTTTATTTCATAAATCTTAATAATGGCTTAATTACTTTGCACTTTTATTAACTTTTTTTTTGTCTATAAATGACATAAATATAAATGTACCTAACTTAAGATGCATATTTTAATATCATTTCTAAACCTTATTTTCAGTTTTGTTATGGTCTATCGCTTATAGCTGCTGCTTGCCTGCTTATTGTTTTTTATTGTTTTGAAGTTTGCTGTTTGGTTAAATTGGTTATTTCAATTTGATGATTTTTTTGATGTTATAAATACAAATCTATAAATATGACTGGCAAAAGAATTAAACTGAGTGGTGCAGCTTCCAGAAAATTAGCGTTAGAAAAGAAATTAAAAAATGCCCTTGTTCTTTCTCAGGTTCCTAAATTAGAAAGTTATTTTATGACAAAGAAAACTGAAGATTTGACATGTATGTATAAAATGTTAAATGTTTGTAAGCTCATAGTAAAATATCCATTAGTTATTTTTGTTTGATTTAAACAGTAATATTTAGATATATAAATAAAAATGAACTTTATAATTTTGTATTTGATTTTATCTCCTCATTATTTAGCAGATTCTACAAATGATAAGTTAGAGAATGACGTTGAGAATGATACTGAGAATAATGTGCTTGACATATACATACTTTTGAAGAGTTTGTTAACCTTATGGGACAAAAAGTACGTGAAACAATAATTAAAGAAATTAAAAAAGCTAAATATTTCTCAATTGATGTGGATTCGACACCAGACGTATCTCATACAGATCAACTTTCCTTTATTTTTCGATATGTTATGGACAACGGTGAACCAGTAGAGCGATTTTTACATTTTCTTCCGAATACTGGACATAAATCTGAAGACTTAGCTAAAGTAGTACCTATTTAACGTTCTTGAATCGAATAATTTGGATATTCAAAATTGCCGAGGCCAGTCTTATGACAACGCGTCCAATATGTCTGGGAAATATACAGGCCTTCAAGCTCGAATAAAACAAGTTTGCCCTCATGCTGTATATGTTCCATGTTCAGCACATTCTTTAAACTTGGTTGGAAAATGTGCTGCTAATTGTTGTTTTTTGGCTGAAGACTTTTTTAATTTAATTCAAAATCTATATGTGTTTTTTTCTTCATCTACATATCGATGGCAAATTTTATCAAAGCAGTTACAGGGCAATGTAACTATAAAAATGCTATCGGGTACACGTTGGTCAGCACGTCATGATGCATGTTTTAGCCTTTCTTATAACTGGAAAGAAATAATCAAAGCACTAGAAGAATTTGAAAATAATAAATTGGAAAAACCACAAACAAGATGCGAACCAGGGGTTTGTTAAGAAAACTACAAAGTCTGGAAATGGGAATAATGGTCTCCGTTTGGAGCGATGTACTTGAACGATTTAATGTAACTAGTAAGAAACTTCAAGAAGTAAAAATTGATTTGAAAACTGTTTTATCGTTATATAACTCCTTAATCAAGTACTCAGAAGAATTAAGAAATAATTTTGATTTGTATGAGAAAAAAGGATTTGAAAAATGTGGAATTAAAGAGTATAAAGACATATCGAGTAGAAAGAAAAAAAGAAAATTGGCTTTTGGAGAAACTCGAGACGCTGAAGCAAAATTAACTCCAAGAGACAAATTTAGAAGTCAAATATATATATCAATCATGGATTCTCTTATTTTTGAATTGAATAAAAGGATGAGCGCTTATGAAGAGATTAATAAAAAAATTTCTTTTTTTTTCGGCTTCAAATATTAAGTATCACAGAAGTTCGAAAACAAGGAGATTATTTGAGGAAGTGTTATCCTAACGATTTACCTGTTACATTTCCAAATGAATGTGTTCATTTTAGAAGCTATTTACTAACAAAGTCAAATAAAGAAAATATACCTAAAACTGCTTTAGAAATGTGTAAAATGATACATGATGATGACATTCAATATATTTATCCTTACGTCAACATAGCACTCAGAATGTTCTTATGTTGTCCAGCATCTAATTGTTCACCAGAGAGATCCTTTAGTGCTCTAAAGAGAGTTAAAACATATCTAAGGTC